TTTTTTTTTTTTTTTTTTTTTTTCTTTTTCTGTGAGTTGGTTGGACCGCGGTACAGCCTCCCTCACTATCCGAAGCTGGGCCCTCATCTACCAGCAGGTCTGGGTGCTCCCCTACCTAGTAGGTCAACAGCCAGCCAGGACAGGGGCATCCCCAAGGCTTGGACCGGGCTCCCGGACTAGGGGAATCACTCTCTTGCCCCTTTGCTGGAGCTCAGTCTCTGCCACCCAAGCTGACCCAAGTGGGGCTCCTGGGGGCCTCACCATGGCTTACCTTTTGCAAGCACCAGAACAGGGCAACTGGCTTTTTAAAACACTGTGGATGAAAACAGCGACAGTGCAGAATGCAACACTCACATGTTTTTTTGAGCCGAAGGTGCAGAGCTTAAACCTGTGCACCCCGATCCCGAGGAGATGCACTTCTCCGCCCTCTGCTTAACTTTGGGGGTGTGTTGGTGGGGGGGTTTGAGGGTTGCTGCGCTATGCTTTGTTTCCTGTTCCAGGGCCACGTTGGGGTGCTCTGAATGAAGGTCAAGTGAGACAACGTGTGCAAAGCACTGGGCATGTGGAGGTCCCTTGAGTTACCATCACTCTTGTTCCCCCTTCCCGGTGACCTTGCAAATGTCTGCTCGGAGGAGGGCCTGCCAGGGCCAGAGGCCAGGTCTCCGGAAGGTGCTCCCAAGGCTCGCTAGGGTTGCGATTCCGGCTCCTGTCCTGCGACCCCGCCGCCCGCACCTGAATTTAAGGGCTCCACAGGAGAAGAGCGAAACTCTGGGGAAGAGGGAGGACGGCACAGAGCCAGTGCTCCGGGAAGTGGTGTCTCAGCCCAGCGGTGAGCCAGCTTGCTGGGTGCGACTTCCGTTTGTCCTTGATCCGAACATCCGCCCCCTTCACCCCAATCCCCTATCTTCACACTGTTCCCTCCATACCCTTTAACCTGAATTTGACCCCACCTTGTCAAGAACTTCACCCCGACCTTCCCTGGTACAACCAGTTTAACAGGGAGGCACCATTGCAATTTTTGGTCCTCGAACGTCAATGGGCAACAGCGGTTACGCCTTCCGGTGTTTACTGAGCACCGACCACGTGACTGAGCACGCGGCTTCCACAGGCGAGCCGGAGCTCACACGGTGGCCTGGCCCAGAGCCTCGGGATGATGACCAGGGAGGGGATGAGGATTTTGTAGCAAGCGGCAATGGCAGGGGGAGGGGCGGAGGCGAGGCGAGCTCAGCAGGACCGTCCTCGAGGGTAGGTAGGGTGGGAGTCGTTGGGCAGGCCCGCTTGGGAACAGCAGCACCAAAGCAGCAAAGCAGAGCAGCTCAGGACATCCAGGGCCCGGCAAGCGTCCAGGGGCACGGGAGCCACGCGACTGTGGCCAGCGGTCCTTAGGAACGCACGACGGGAACGGTAAAGCATTTAGGCCGCCTCCCGCAGGCAGGCGGCCACTCGAGGCCGTGGGGCCAGCACGGGGCCCGGGGACACATCGAGGTCGGGCCCGGACTGAGGCCCCAGCGCCTGAGAAGGGTTACGGAAGACTGAGGAACACGGTCGCTCGGGAAACGGGAGTTGTAGTAACGGAAGGACGGGCCAAAACTCAAGACCGCTTTTTCATTTTTTAAATCAAACACTTTATTTTCCACATAACAAGCGCAAAAAACTCCCAAACACTTTAACAATACAATTAACGCAGTTATGAATTCAATTATAGATACTACTCAGAGCCCCAAAAGGTCAATCAGCTTAACGTCCCAAACATTTCCAAACGTGGTTTTTCAAAGCTACCTTTGGTTTTTGGAAAAACCAGTATGGAAGTCAATATACACTGAATGCACTGAACATTCGCTCATAGGAAGGTGTCCAGTGGCGGCTCACACCCGGCAAGCTGGAGCGCGATTTGGAGTCCTCCACGGAAATACACGCGCAGGTTTGCCCCCGAGCTCCCGCGGCCGGGACAGAGGGCCGTGAAGGGGGGCGAAAAAGGCCAGTCCAGGTTGTGGCGTTTCTCGTTTTGTAACAGAGGTATGAGTTTGACACTAGAACACTGTCAAGTCATTAAGCTTCATGTTCCAAACGGTCTCTTGCTGAGGCTTGAGGTGGGCACAAATGGTGGGGAAGATGAAGTCACAGAAGAGCTTTGAGCAACCAGATCCCAAAGATGCTCAAAGAGGGTAGGGAGGAGCAAGCTACAGTTTCCCATTGTTCTCACATTATTTCAGGGTGAAATTGTGGAGAAGTTCGGATAGAATGTTCAAATATTTGCTTAGATTTTTACTCAGTTGCTCTATGAGGACCCTCATACACAGCAACGTTGAAACGTTCATTGTAAAAAAAGAGCGTACAAATAAATTCACAAAAAAGAGACAATTAATGTTGAGCAGCCAAAAAGTCATGGTTTATTATATTGGGAGGGATTTCATAATTCAAACACAACCAAACTGTACATTTTACAATCACATTCTATTTGTAAACAGTTAAAAGCCACTGACTTCTTTTGCATCTTAGGACACAAACAGTTAGCATCAAGGCAATGAAATGATGGCAAATTCTGCGCTGTTAAAATGTTTACCCTCGTTTGGCCCGTCTTCTTTGACTAAGCAAGCATTATAATACCATTTGTGGGCAAAAAAAGGGGGGGGGGCGAGGAGAGAAAGGAAGTTTAAAAACGGTGTAACTCGTTAGTTTGCAACAACATTTAAAATCTTTATACAACGAACAATTCTGTGAGCCCAATACCTTGGCTACAGTATGCATAGTTACTGATTTCGGCTTTAAGGTACAACAGTTCAACATTAACACAGTCACAAGAGAGCAGAAACAGAGAGCCACTTGATGGGATTACAAAAATTATTATCACCTATTGATTATTAGCAAACCATCATCACTCACTAATAAAAAGACAGCATCTGAAAGCAGAATGTCGACTCCAGCTTCAAGCGTTTTTTTTGTTTTTTCTTCTTTTTTATTTTTTTTTATTTTTGGCAGAGAAAATTCTTGAACAGAGCAATGTGTAGTATCAGTGCTAAAAGTCGGGGTTTTCTTTTTTTCCTATAAGAAACTACAAGGAGGTTTTTTTTTTTTTTTTAATTTTTTATTTTTTTATTTTTTCCTAACTGGGGAACTGGTTTTCCTGAGAACCA